ATAGAGGACAAGCTGACCCCCCCTCCCCCCATTTAGTTTCCCTTTTTGCGACCTTCCGACAAGCCAGATTCACTTAACAACCGGGTTACTAGGTTTATCAGCTGCAAGGATTCCCCCGAAAGGAGAAAGGTCGTAAAACGGGGCAAAAATTTCCTTAGCCCATGTCTCACTTAACAAGAGCAATGTTGGGCTCACGGTTGCCGTCGTAAAGTCGAGGGCTGCCTGAAACGCTGCCTTTCGTGCCCCACCACTTCTTTTTAGTTTCCTTCCCTTTGTTGATAGTCATTACACCTGGGACCACGAAAGGAAATGCTGCCTTCGGTGTACATTAGAACTATAAAAATAAAAACTAGAATTGAAATTGAAATTTCCTTGCAGGGAAGGGATTTTTTTTGGGGGGGGGGGTAAAATGCAGGGGAAAGAGTGAAGGAAGGCAGATCCCCATGGAAGTTGTGCGTTTTTCTCCCTTTGCAGGAAAAGAGGAGGAGGACGAAGGCACGCAAGTCCACGCAGACGTATAGAGGCCAATCTGGTTCCCCCCTCCCTTTCGCAAGGAAGGGGAGAGGAAGGGGCTCCAAGGCCTGCAAATTGAGCCCCTAATCTGAAAGGGAGTCTCGCTGCCTTTGTCTTTCTCTCTTCTCTTTCTCTCTCCTTTTTCTCTCCCTTTCCTCTCTTTTCTCTTTCTCTTTCTCTCCTTTCCTCTCTTTGCCTTTCTCTCTCTTCTCTTTTTCTCTCCCTTTTTTCTTTCTCTTCATCTTTCTTTCCTCTCCCCTTTCTCTTTCTCTCCCTTTCCTCTTTCCTCTTTTTTTCTTTCTTCTTTCTACCCTTTCTTTCCTCTTTGACTTTCTCTCTCTCCATCTCTCTTTCCTCTCTTTTTTTCTCTCCCTCCTTCTCTCTTCTCCTCTCCCTTTCCTCTGTCTCTTTGTCTTCTCTTTTTCTCTTCCTTTCTCTCCCTCCCTCTCTTCTCTGACCCTTTTCTTTCTCTCCCTCTTTCTCCTCTCTTTCTCCCCCATGCCTCTGTTTCTCTCTGTCCAATTATCAAAGCCAACTGTGTCCAATCTGAGACAGCATCTCCCATAGTACCACCTAAGTATTCTATCTCATCACTTCGACCTTGTAGAATAGAAAATTCCCAGAGACGCTGCGGTGTTCCTCTTAGAGCTGAATTTTTCAACAACAAAGAGCCGAAACAGCAGAGATAAGGTCGCAGCAGCTATTTACTGTTTGGTATTAAGTTGTATTCATAAAATTAAATGCACTCCTGTCTATATATCCAATCTTGTTTATGGAGAGAAACACACTAATCTCTTCCTTATACACATATATACACACACACATGCATGCACACACTGCCCCCTCTGTCATAGAGGATAAAGAAAACAAATTAGTAATAATATGAATTTATATCTGTACAAGGAAGGAAACCGTGAAGGGTTCCCAAGAGAGAAATTTGCGTAAGTTTTTTATTTGGGCCAGTCACTTTTGCTAGGTTTCTTTTTGAGCTCAGAAGCCACCTCGTAGAAGAATGAACTGGAGCTGCTAAGTACAATTAATCCTCAACTTACCACAATTTGAGCCCAAACTTTCTGTTGCTAAGCGAGACATTTGTTAAGTGAGTTTTGCCCCATTTTACAACCTTTCTTGCCACAATTGTTAAGTGAATCACTGCGGTTGTTAAGTTAGTAACTAAGTTGTGAAGTGAATCCGGCTTCCCCATTGACTTTGCATGTCAGAAGGTCGCAAAAGGGGATCACCTGACCCCAGGAGACTGCAACCATCATAAATGTGAGTTGCCAAGCGTCTGAATTTTGATCACGTGACTGGGCATGCTGCATTGGTTGCAAGTGTGGAAAAGTCCCTCTTTTCAATGCCATTGTTAACTTGGAGCAGTCACTAAACCGTTGTAAGTCGAGGATTACTTGTAACAGATGCAAGGACTGGATTCCTCAATCCAAATTGAAGATGTAATTTGTTTTAGTGGTCGGATGTCACAATTTGTGAATTAGTTTGTGGCTTAGTGTGACGTATGAAGTCGGTTATTGTGGCTTGTTTGCAGAAAGGAATCCGAAAGCAATGAGGTGAAATACATTGCTAATAAAATCAGGCAACTGTTCGGCAACTGCAACAGATTTTTAAATGGATTTGTGCAGAATTTTCTGTCTGTCTGCCTGGTGAGGGGGCGGGGGGAAATATTTTCTTCCTCTTTTTCTCTGCACTTGAAGGAAACAAGCACAGACATTTTTCAGCCTTATAATATGGAAGTACATTTTGATCCCCCAGATAGCTTCCCTTCTCTGATCTTGAACTTTATTCTGAATTTTAGAATCTGTTTAATTTCTGTTTTTTTAAAAGTAGCTTTTCTCCCTCCGCCTCAGTTCTGCTGTGTGTGATTGTCATTAAATGGTGTGAATTGTCCTCTGGCTTTATATAGAACAGACTGAATTAAAGTCAAAACTTGTGTTGCCAGGAGCAGAAATCTCTCTGTGGTTTGCTTTTCTTTAGTGGCAGGAATTTCTGTTTGGCGATGAAGACTTTCCTTAGCATTTCCCGCCAGGATTTGTCACCGATTCACTGTTTTTCTCTCTCTGCTGCACCTTTCAGTCCTTCAAGGAATCGAAACTTGAGACGCCCTTAGGGAATTTTTTCCCCCTGGTCAATTGTTGAATCAAATGCACACTGGCTATAAATCTTGTCATTAAGGAAACTTTCTTTGTCATGGGGCAAATATTGCATCATTTCAGACTAGCCTGGACTGGCCATCCATTCAAGGAACTCCTTTGCAACGTGATAGTGATGAATTGGACAAGCTGCAATGTCTTGCTTTATTATTTTGTCTGCACTGTTTTCATAGGCTGGCATCAGGGGGTGGGGGGGTTGTGCGTTCTGCACAAATCATGTTTCAAGGTATGAGGGTTTGCGTTGACACCCCAGGAGCAGTTGTGTTGTGTTGCAACTGTCAAGGGACCTTGGGTAGCTTGCAACAGTAGAAAACAGCATAAAACAATAAGAACATTAAGCCATTCGGCATTAAAATCAACCCAGATCTAGATAAAAAGGGAACCATGGCTTAAACAGGGCACAGGTGGCATCTATAGAGGTGTGTAATGGCTGATCTCCCAAAGTCAATGTGCCCAATCATAGCTAAATGTTTCAGTGCCATCCAGTAACCAACTTCTCGATGGGGGTCCTTGGTGGTCTCTGAGCTTGGTGGTTTTCTTGCCGACATTTCATTACCCAACTAGGTAACATCATCAATGCTATCTAATGAGACGTCGGCAAGAAAACAACCAAACTCTGAGAGAACCAAGGAGCCCACAGTCCTCCTCCTCCCACTCCCTTCTAGCACTGATGATGTTCTCTAGCTGGGTAATGAAATGTCTGCAAGAAAACCACTAAGTTCAAGAGCATCAAGGAACCCACAGCTGCCCTCCTCCTCCTCCTCTCTGCAAACCCCACTCCCTTCTAGCATTGATGATGTTCCCTAGTTGGGTATTGAAACATCTGCAAGAAAACACCCAAGCTCAGAGAGCACCAAGGACCCCACAGTTTGAACCCTAAGCTGCAAATCTTCTATTTCCATCTTTTTTTTTTGTCCTCCCTGTAGAATGAGTACATGTTGCTGGTGTACGCCAGGTGGTCCTGCCACCGTCAAACTACTAGCGAATTACGCCTCCGCTGGCCTGTCTCCGAAGGACTTTTCTGCTGCCAACGATGACCTCTGCTACTGCCTGGAATGCGTGGAGGAGTACCATAAAGCGAGAGATGAGCTCCCATCTTTGCACCAGGTACTCTGATCCCAGGCATCTGTCCGCTCGGGCGAGATTGGCATTTTGCCCCCCCAAATTGAAATATATTTTTATTATTTGCATATAAATATATTGAATACATTGTGATTGTCCTGGCATTTTACTTGCCATGAAAACCAAAATGAAAAACAAATAGCATATATACATGTATTAAATATACTTAAATATATTTAAACAGTACAGTTATTATTGACCATCATGTTCATCCTAATACACAGATGTACAATATATATAATTTCTCTTTCCAAATCCATCTAACCTAATTTTTCACTATTCCAACTTCCACCTCTTGCTTCTACTGTGTTTCCCCGAAAATAAGGCAAGGACTTATTTTCTTTTGCCCCCTGAAATAAGCGCTTGGCCTTATTTTCGGGGAGCTCTTATTCAGGAGGTGGCGGGCATGGTCACCTCAGGGCTGCTGCTGTGTTGCAGTATTTTCGGGAGGAGGGCTTATTTTAGCACGTGTGCTCAAAAGCCCGATTGGGCTTATTATCCGGGGAGGTCTTATTTTCAGGGAAACAGGGTAACAACCATTAATAGAATCTGTTCCATATGTCATAATATTCTGTCTCTCCTTTGCCATTTATTTTTAATGTTAGTCTATCCATTTCTGCACAGACTAGTATCTTCCTTATTATCTCTTTCTCTGACTGGTTGCTTTTACTCTTCCACTGATGCACATACGCCATTCTTACTGAGGTCAGGATTTGTAGTATTAGGTATATTGTTCCTTTATCATAGCAGGGCATTTTGCCAATTCTTATTGTCATCATGCTCTGGTCTTTTTTCTGGCACACAACTCAGAAATAGTAGTTTTTTTCTTTTTTAAAACAACAACAGCAACCATACTTTGAAAAAAAACTTAATGAACTGATCTTAATCTTGGTATTTAATCTTGTTTCTTGCCAAGACTCAGACAGCTGCTTAATTGCTTTCACTTCGATACTTTCGTTTATTTATTCTTGGTTTAAAGTTTGGAGTGGATTTTTAAAAAAGACATTGCGTTTGTTTCAAGTAATACATTTTCAAAAATGTCTATGAAGTCTTTTCTAGCCCCCCTCCCCCCCCCTTTAATCTCTGTCAGAGGGATGACTTTTATAAAGAACTTCAATCGCTGGGTGGTTAGATATGTATCAAATTGTTTTATAAAAGACAATAAATAACTGTATTTAATTTATCAAGATAATTACAGTGATGATGATTATTACTCCTAAGTGGTTATTATCAGCTCCCCAGTTAGCTTGTGTTTAGAGAAGTTGGCCATGGTCTAACAAATAGAAGGACCAGGGGGTGACATGATAGCAGTCTTCCAATATTTGTCTGGTTGTCACAGAGAAGTGGGTGGGGTCAACCTATTCTCCAAAATAAAGGCAGGACAAGAAGCAATGAATGGAAGCTCCTCAAGAGGAAGACCTAGAACTGAAGAGAAATTTCTTGACATTGAGGACAATTAACCAATGGAACAGCTTGCCTCCAGAAGTTACAGCGGTGGCCAAAAATTGTGGAGACCTTTTGGGAAAAGTGTATTTTCTAAAACTAACTAATAACGCCACTTTTTTTTTTTTTGAGTAGTACCATAAGATTATTTATCAATGGAAAGATTATTTAAACAAGAATGTAATGCAATAACTTTTATGAAGGATTTACGATTTGAATAGCAGTTATAAAGAAGAAAAGTGAAACGAGAGATACGAACATTATCCCCATGTCAGTTAATACTAAGTTGGGTAACCTTTAGCATGAATTACGGTCTTGTAACATCTTCCCATGGAGCGAACCAAGTCTTTTAGTTCTGCAGCCGTTATAACGTGAAACCAAGATTGAATGATTGCTTCTATTAGCTGGGTTTTATTGCTGGATCAGTTCTGACTTTCAAGTTTCTTTAGTCGGCTCCATAGGGTTAAGGTCTGGGCTATTCCCAGGCTATTACAGCAGTGGAATATGATTATCTTGAAACTCCTCCCCCCACCCAAAAAATGTGGCATTATTAGCCATCAAACCTCAAAAATACACTTTTCCCAAAAGGTTTCCATAATTTTGGCTACTACTGTATGAGTGCTCCATCCCTGGAGGTTTTTAAGAAAAGACTGGACAGCCACTTATCTGGGACGGGATAGAGTCCCTTGCTTGAGCAGGGGGTTGGACTAGAAGACCTCCAACGACCCTTCCAGACCTATGATTCTATGTTCTATGGCACTCTTCTATTTTTTATATATATTTATTGAGAATGTTCCTGTAATAAAAGGCAAAGCAAAAGAAAAACTGAAGAAACGTATCATTGATTTCTGATCTCCCTTTCAACTGATAATTAGATTCATACTGCTCCTTCTCCTACCTCTTCAATATTTTGCAAATCCCTTCCACGTCTTAATCTTCAGATCCATAAACTAGTTATTTCTTCTTCTTCTTCTTCTTCTTCTTCTTCTTCTTCTTCTTCTTCTTCTTCTTCTTCTTCTTCTTCTTCTTCTTCTTCTTCT